ATGCACAAACGCACACACATGCATACTCACTTGATTTCTTAAGTCCCTAAAATACCTCTGTCTTAGTTTCCTAGGGCTGCCATAACAAACTACCACAAAGCGGGTGGCTTTAAAGAACAGAAAGTTATTTTCATACAGTTATGGAGGTTGGAAGTCTGAATTCAAGGCATCAGCAGGGCTATGCTCTCTGTCTGCTCTAAGGGAAGATCCTTTTTTGTTTCTTTCAGTTTCTGTTAGCCCCGGGTATTTCTTGATGTTCCTTGGCTTATAGATGTTATCTTCACATGGCGTCTTCCCCCTTTGTGTGTGACTCCATTTCCTTTTTCTCCCTTTTTATAAGAAACCAGTCAGGTGGGATTAAGACCCACCCTACTCCAGTATGGGCTTGTTAACTGATAATATCTGCAAAAACAAACAAACAAACAAAAATCAAACCAAAAACCCAAGCCAAACCAGTTACTATTTAGTTAGTTCAGACTCACGGCGCCCCCCTGTGTTCCAGAGTAGAACTGTACTTCATAGGGTTTTCAATGGCTGATTTTTCTGAAATAGATTGCCAGGACTTTCCTCCAAGGCACCTGTGAGTAGATTCGAACAGCTAACCTTTCAGTTAGTAGCCAAGCACCTAACCATTTGCAACACCCAGGGACTCCAACATCTGCAAAGAAAAACACTATTTCCCCGATCAAGGTCATATTTAAAGGTACAAGGGTTAAGACTTCAATATAGCCTTATGAGGGCCACAACTCAATCTGTAACAACCCCAGTATTTAAATTCTCCAAGCATCCTCTGAGCATCACCCTTGGATATCTGGGAGAAGCAGCGCAGGAACACACGGGGTGGCTTGGGCAGTGAGCAGTGCTAAAATGTTTATCTTGCCGATAAGGCGATAAGTTGCCAAGGTCTTGCCTTTGCTGCTCGCCTCCTTCTCTGCCACCAAACACATCCACTCTTCTTCCGTGCCAGCTTCCCTTCTGCCCATCTCCTGCAGCTCAGGAATGTCTCCAGCTTCCTGCGGACTTGCTGTCCTCCTTTGCCAACCTCAGCCTCATTTCGATTGCAATTGCATTTGCATCCTAATTTATGACTTAACAAGTGTCTCACAAACATTTCATTCACTTTAATTTCATTATACGTTTGAGGAGGACGATTTATAGAGGGGGAAAATTGATGTTCCCACTGCTAGCGATTAGATGAACATAATGATCTGTGGTAAAAGCTCCTTTTGGGCTTTGGACTTTTCTTACATGTCTACAAACAAAACTAGTCCTCAGAGGGGCTCAGATGTATCCACAAAGTCCTCCTGTAATATCCAACATGGAAATTCATGAAACGGGAACAACGTGCGCCTGACCCAAGCCAAGTTGTTTTCAATCGCCACATATGCTTGCAAAAGCTGGACAATGAATATGGAAGACCGAAGAAGAACTGACGCTTTTGAATTATGGTGTTGGTGGAGAACACTGAATATACCACGGACTGCCAGAAGAAAGAACAAATCTGCCTTGGAAGAAGTACAACCAGAATGCTCCTTAGAGGCAAGGATGGCGAGACTACGTCTTACATACTTTGGACGTGTTGTCAGGAGAGATCATTCCCTGGAGAAGAACATCATGTTTGGTAATGTAGAGGGTCAGCAAAAAAGAAGACCCTCAACGAGATGGATTGACACAGTGGCTGCAACAGTGGGCTCAAACATAGCAACGATTGTGAGGACGGTGCAGGACCAGGCAGTGTTTTGTTCTATTGTACATAGGGTATCATTATGGGTAGGAACCAACTTAGTGGCACCTGACAGCAACAACATGATTCTCAGCTAATTTATGTCTTATGATACTTTTGTGAAAAAATTTTTTTTCACATCAATTTCAACAATATTGATAAATTGTAATTTTTTTCCAGAGAGCTTTTCTGAGGAGATAGGGAGGGAACACATCACATTGTCTTTTCACGTTCCCACTCTATATACTGAGTACCCTCTTGCGGGGAGGAGGGCAGTGGCGGTTCAGTGACAGAATTCTTGCCTTCCATGTGGGAGACCCAGGTTTGATTTCTGGCCAATGTACCTCATGCACAGCCACCATCTGTCTGTCAGTGGAAGCCTGCATGTTGCTATGATGCTGAACAGGTTTCAGCAGACCTTCCAGACTAAGACAAGCTAGGAAGACAGGCCTAACGATCTGCTTCTGAAAATCAGTCAGTGAAAACCCTAAAGATCACAAGGGTTCGATCTGCAACCGATCACAGGGACGGCGAGGGACCTGGCTGCATTTCATTCTGTTGTGCAACAATACCCTCCTGGGAGTTAGAGCAAGTGACTCCTTTTTATAAAGAAGGACTGTATTTCTTAAGCTTTTCCTTTGAATGTTGTCTAGGGACTATATTGATCCAGGAATTGGGGTGCAAATAGTGCTGATCTAGATTTGTGCAAATAAATATTCTCCACCTTTCTCAGTTATTCATATAATTGCCCACCCCATTTTGCCATATTGAACAGAAACCAAAAAAAACAAATTCATTGCTGTCAAGTTGATTCTGACTGATAGAGACCCTGTAGGACGGTATAGAGCTTCCCCATAGGGTTTCCAAGGCTGTAAATCTTTACGGAAGCAGACTGCCACATCTTTCTCCTGGGGAGTGGCTGGTGGGTTCAAACTGTCGACCTTTTGGTTAGTGGCTAAGCGTTTTAACCACTGTGCTACCAGGGCTCCTTATATTGAACATACCTGGGGTTTATGACCCCGCTGAAGTGGGAGTGGTTTTGAGCCATGTTTATAAAGGAGACCAACCTTCTTTCAATTCCTTCATCCCTCGGAGCTTTCCAGTGAAACAGAAGCATCAGTATTTCTTCCCATAAACCAGGGAAGAGAAGGGGGAATGGAAGAAAGGGAAACAAAGCCACAATTGCCTGACTTTCTTATCTCTTTAAGACCTAGCCATTTTCTTGACTTATCATTTCCATGGTTGAGCCAAGTGGCTGATCTTAGGAAAAATAATTCTTTCTTGAGCATTTCTGTCCTGGGAAACCTGGATGAGGAGACTGAACCTGGTGTAGGAATGAAGCTTCCGAATTCCTGGACAGATTTTGCACTGACTACATCATTACGGAACTGCCAAACCCCTGAGAATCATGGTCCAGCCAAGTGGACATACACCCTTAGCTATCACGGGCAGCAATCATCTTGGGAAATAATGAAGTTTGTACCTGTGAGGGAGTTAGAGTCTGTATTCAGGCTGCAGTTGCTAAACCATGTGAGGGACATTCAAGACATGAGCTAAGCTGGGTTTTTTGACCTGCTGCCCATGAACAGTCTTCATGGGGCCTGAGAACCTCCTAAGATCATGCTGAAGAGTTAAATAAACCAGTGCTCTGTTAGGAGCAAAAAAAGAAATGAGTTTTACTGAGGAATAGAAGCATCTATATAGCTGGGCCCCATCCACTCAATTCTGACTCATAGTGACCCTATAGGACAGAGTAGAACTGCCCATAGCGTTTCCCAAGGCGGGACTGGTGGCTTTGAACTGCTTACCTTTTGATTAGCAGCCGAGCTCTTAACCCCTGTGCCACCAGGGCTCCTATAGCTGGCATCACTAGGTAAAAGTACAAAGTTCAAGCAGAGAGAAGGGTCTTTATACACAGAGAACAAAGGAAAGGTAGGGGGTTAGTAATTGATTGTAGATAAGATCAGCTTCATCTTGAAGTCCTTTGAAATGCAAAAGTCAGACACCTGACTAGGAAGGAGTGAGTTGCAGCCTAGGTGAGAGGTGCTAACTGGTTTGGCCATACATAATTTTGAATTATAGTTGGTTACACCTTTTTTTTTTCTTTGGGGGGGGGAGCAAATTGTTTACATCTCAACACATTCTTCCTAAATGGTTTGCATCCTGATCTTTTGTTTCCTGAGAATGCATGTTGGCGCCAACATTCTTAGTCTGATACTGAGTGCCTCCAGTTTGAAACTTTTTAGTTACAACCATCTGAAATTTCTGAATGTGCTTTTTCTAAGAGAACGTCTACTGCTTTCATTAGATTCTCATACAGCAGCCTATGACCTGAAAAAGGTTTGTTGCCACCAGCATAATACATTTTTCTGTGCCTCTGTCTTCTGAGTCCAGGATGATAGCGCTGATTTGCCTTTCTTTCTTTTTTGTTCTTCCTAGAAAAAGCAAGTGAGTCAGACCAAGATCCGGGTCATCTCCACCATCCTGTTCATCTTGGCTGGCTGCATCGTGTTTGTGACGATCCCTGCCGTCATTTTCAAATACATCGAGGGATGGACAGCCTTGGAGTCAATTTACTTTGTGGTGGTCACTCTGACCACGGTGGGCTTTGGCGACTTTGTGGCAGGTGAGCACTGTAGGCATCCTAGTCACCAGGATGATGATCTGTTGGCTGGGAAAGGGCAGGGAAAATTGTCTGTTGACTGAGCTTTTCAAAACCACGGTAAACAATGTTGCGGAGAAGCAAATGACTCAGGTGTCACTGCTGCTGTACACAGGGTCCTATGTGATGTAAATAGCAGCAGCTTTCTGCTGTGAAAGGAATGCAATCTTCTTCCTCCCCAGCATGCCTATGGCCCTTATCATCATATGAATTATGCATGAATGAGATGAAATGTCTCATTGAATGTTGGACTTTGCAATTGTGTTAAGACTCCTTGAATCAGTTGATAAAGGCTGTATTGGCAGATGTAAAACTCAGGCGAGATTAGCATAGAGCTTGGCCTGCAGTGGCCTGCAGGTTAAGCTTCCTGACGCTGAGGTGAGAGCCATTGTCCTGGGCATGCCAAGACATGCCGAGACACAAGACTCAGAACGTAGGTGACTTCCAGGAGCTGAGGGAAGATAATATTATAATGGGTTCTGCAAGAGGAGGCATAGAAGCAATAGAAGCTTTCTTTGTAAAAAATAAATGTCAATGAGCTATGTTTAAGTAAAAAAAAAATAGTCACCAATTTCACCTGAGGACAGGAGTTTGGAAATGAAACGAGATTTGGCTTCTTATGGGTACCACTTCCCCAAAGTGTGGTCAAAAGGCAGGAATAGAAGAAGAAGGCCATCTTTCTCTTTTCCCAATAGGATAGTTCTAGGTGGTCAGACAGTCAATAATTTTCTACTCTAACAAGTGAACATTTTGTTCAAAAAACACTCTCATAATCTTGAGATGTTTGGGTTGAGAGTGTGTGTGTGTGTGCAGGTGTGTGTGTGCGCACACCCCTGCCAGTTTCTGGTTAAGCAGCAGCCTGGACATTTAAAGACTGGGCTCCCAGGCTGACTGTTCCTTATTTGGTGTGTGGTCCCAGCAATGCTTTCGTTCCTCCGTGGGCTTCAGTAAGGGGGATGGGATCTAGTCTTTGGGAATCTGCTGCACAGGAAATTATGGAAAGGATGTTGAAGGCTCATCAGTAGGAATATGGGTGCCTCCATGTTAATTCTATAACAGAGATAGCTGAAAGGGTGGTTTTGTAGCTGTTTCAACTGGGCAATGAAGACTGAAGTCCACTTTGTAAAAACATTGTTTTTTTTTTTTTCCTTCCTTTTTATTGACTGAGAATTGGAAAGTTAATGTGATTAAAACCTGTTTATGAAAAGACTGGTGCCTAGGACCCCACCAGTCTTCCGTTGTCCACGGTGCTCAACCAGTGTGCAGCGAGCCCCTCAGCCTTGCGTGAGAATTCACCTAATGCTATCTGATTCTGGGCCTGGAGAGAAGCCACACGGCAGGACGGAGAAGGCATGTCCCTGTCCCTTCCTTAGCACAAGCCATAGCCAGTCTGTGGGAAAACTCAACTGAGGCTCCAGTCTAAGGTCAAATACATGTAATGGTAACTGGATTTTAGAACTATTTTCACCAACATTTTTATGTACCCCAAAGCACAGTTTGCATTGGGTTATGTCTGGGCTTACACTGGGCTGCCTTGTGGATGCTCTGTTTTAGGACATTTATGTCTAAACTCTGCTCTCTAACCAACTGCTCAGTTCAGTAATTCCAGAGCTGTTTCTGGGGCACAAAGCCCAGAGCCCTGGGTGTGTGAGATTAAAAAAGTATTTATGATTTTATTTTATTTTTGATTCCCTTTCATTATTTATTATTATTAGGCACCACAGACTGAGCATTGAGCATATGCTAGCATTTTACTTTATCTTTACTCACTTAGCCAGGGCACAGTTACAAGGCATCACACTGTTTTAATTCCTTCACTGCTGATGACAGAGCCATATTTCATTTGTCCTGTGGTTTCCACAGATTGGGGTCTGTTATAATTCACAGCATTGACAGCAGTTAGACGAGGCCCTTCTAAGCACCTGTTTCCAGAGCTTAGGCTGACCGATCTGAAGAACACATGGCTTAAAAGACCGGAGATTTGTCACTCCCTTTTGGTAATACTCGAAGAGCAACAGGGAAGGATGACCAATAATTTGAAAAGTACATTGACAAGAGTTGATTGTTGCTGTGATTTGACGAGGTACTTCTCTACTAGAAATATAATCGCAACGTCGACCACGCAGGATTCAGTGCTGGTTTATTTTATAGCTGACTCACCTTGGAACAGCCTATCAGCATTACAATATTTGGCAACCCTGCCTGAGAGCTCACACTGAGCTCAGAATCTCAGATAAAGGGACAAGCAAAAGGGTGCCTACTGTGTTGTTTGCTAACGCCCCCTAGTGACAATCTTCGTTGGGTGATAAAAAAACAAAAAGCAAACCTGTTGTCATCAAGTGGATTCTGACTCATAACGACCCTATAGGACAGGGTAGAACTGCCCATAGGGTTTCCAAGGCTGTAATCTTCACGGAAGCAGACTGCCACATCTTTTTCTTGCAGAGCGGCTGGTGGGTTCGAACCTCAGACCTTTCAGTTAGCAACCGAGGGCTTTAACCACTTTGCCACCAGGGCTCCTTCAAGGGTAACTATTTAGCCTCAGATAGCCCAAAGGAAAAAGCTACAGAGCTTTCTGGCCTGACATAGAATGGAGATGAACTGCAAAAACTACTTAATGTTGCAGGAACTCCAGTAATATCCTAAGAAAGCTGTGGAGGAGAGTTCTAGCTAAAACCAAAGGCAGCTAAACAAAATGATGGGGTCTTGCCACAGAGCCCTTTGACAATATTTGGAATTTTAATTTTAGGACATGGCAGTAGCTGTTAAGACCTTGTGGGCTGCATTGCCAAGTGGGTTCAGATACATTGAGAAGAGCCACAGGCCACAGCTCCTGCCCAGCTGCCTTGGGGAGGTATTATTGATACCCTGAGAGCTCAATCTGTATTCAGCTCTAGATGTGGTTACAACCATGCCCCAGTAGGATAATCTAATAATCATTCATCATGTAATACCATAATTACTAATACATTGCTAGTATCAGTCATCTTGGAAATGGCCACCTGCCTGCTTCATTGGGCAACAATGTCTCACAGAGTGAGAACAAGGCTTGTGTCGATTAATTTCCCTTCTCCTCCTCACCTCTTCTTCAAGAGAGTGGGCTGGGCTTAGATTCTGTTTTGCGTGGCTAGCTTAGGCAGCGCCTGTAGGAAGGTTAGAATAAATAGGCTAATTATCTGGAATAAGTGACTGATACCTTCAGTGGAACAGCCAGTCAATTCAATGAGACAACTGGCCAATTCAGTTTGATGGATTTTTACTGGAATCCCTATTTATAAAATAAAGAGATTGGGCTAGCTGGGCTGTAAGTTCCCTTTCAGCTCTAGCTTATGATGATTCTAATTAATCAGCCTAATTGACCCCTCGTATTAGCAACATGTAAACAGGATCCCTCAGTTAGCATTAAATCACTACTTCTTGGATCAAAGTCTCCGTAATGCCATTACGTCTAA